AAAATTTTTTAAAATAAATTTTTTTTAAAAATTACAAATTTTTAGTTTTTAAATAACATTAAATTTTTTATTATATAATTAAAAGAGAAAACTTGTTATAATATATTATATATTTATAAAATTAATTTAAAAAAAAAAGTTTTTTAAAATATTGATTATTTATAAAAGTAAATTAGAGAAGAATTTATAATAAATAAGTAGGCAAATTTAAGTAATACAAAAAGGTTTAGAGTTCTGTAAAGGTGATGAATGATGTATAGTAATATTTATTATGATCACATGATATTTGTGTAAAGTATACTCAAGTTACATATACTACCTTTAACCTATATTATTATAATTTTGACCAGTTAATCTTATTCATCATTCGAGTAAATGTCACATAAGGTAATATACATCACTCATGATTTTCACAGGACTTTACACCTTTTGTATTATTTAGCAAATTAACCTGTGAAACTCTATAATCTAAGGGATAAACATTTTTTGCAATTACATTGTTCAACAAATTAATTTTAATTTTTTTTTATCTGTTCAATTACATCAAAGAGATATTTAAGCATTTTAGTCAAAGGAAATCAACTTTTATCACATAAGTAAAGTTGCTCAGCAATTTGAAAATATATGTATATATATTTTTATTAAAATTAGATTAATAGTTGTAAAGTTATGAATATTTTTCATGATTATATTATTTCACAAAATATTGTTATTTTTTTTATTTATTTAGTAAGCAATTTAAGCATTTTGGTCAAAGAAAATCAACTTTAGTTGTATATATAAAGTTATTCAGCAGATTCAAAAATATTTACATAAAAATTTATATTATGATTAAATTAATAGTTATAAAGTTATATACAATTTTCATAATTATATTATCTCACAAATTTTTTATTTTATTTTTTATCTGTACAGTGACTTCAAAGAGCAATTTAAGTATTTTAGTCAAAGAAAATCATATTTAGTCTATAAGTAAAGTTTTTTAACAGGTTTAAAAATATGTATATATAAAATTTTATTATGATTGGATTAATTATTGTAAAGTTATAAACGTTTTTTGTAATTGTATTAGCAGTCATCTGATTTGCAGATTTATCGCAACTTGTAATTTTAAAATAATTATATTAGTATTTTTTTTTTGAAAAATAATTAAATGTAAAAATGTATCAATATTTTTTTATATTTTTTTAAAAAAATATTAAACAAAATTAATAATTGTTTAGTTTTCTTTTTTAGACAGGTCAGGTCAGGTCAGGTCAATGTATATTTAATTCAGGTCAATTTTATGTCTGACCTGACCTGACCTTATCAGGTTGGGTCAAGTCAATTATCTGATTCAACTTGATTTGTTCGGAATTTTATACAAAACATTGTAAATACATGAATAATTCCTTGATAATAAAAAGAAGACAAAGCAATAAAATTAAGCAGATAGCTATAAGGTAATAAAAAGGCCCTAAAGCAATAAAAACAAGCAGATAGCAATAAGAAAATAAAAAGGCCACAGAACCTCAAAAATATATAACTAGGTAACATTACACTCATAACTAGTTAACATTATAATGTAACTGGTTAATATTCTTATAAGAATATTAACCAGTGTACTAAATTTGCTATCTCTTGTATATACCTGAACCTGATAACTTTGAAGACTTTTGGATTATATAGATATTCTGAATATACTTTTAACTTACTTAATATTAAAGTTTTTAAATTTTTTTGAAATTTTTTTAAATTCTTTCATTATTTTTATAAAGTAAATTTTTGTAAAGATAATTTTTAAAAGATAAAGATATAAAAGGTATTTTATTAAAATTTATGTTTGGATCATATGATTTATTATGTCTCATAATCTAATTTTAATAGTATTATAAATATAATTTTTATAATTTTTATATTATTTAATTTATTAATTATAAATGAGAAATGAAAACTAATTAGTCCAAAATTATTTTAATTTCTATATAAATACTTTAATTTTAATGTTAATACTATAGAAATTTATAATAAAATTCAAAAAAAAAACTGATAATTTTATAGTTAATATTTCAATTATCAGTTTTGTTTATATATATAGGGCCTTTACAATAGAAAGGAGGGAAACTGTTGGAAAAATCAAAAATGAGTTAATGCTAAATTTGAACATATTTCAGCCTAAAAATTATATTTGGCATATAAAAGTAAAATTAATTTTTCCTGGCAGTTTCCCCCCTTTCTATTGCAAAGGTCCCATATTATATAAGAAGTTTGTTAGAAAAATAGGCTCTAAGCATTTTTTTATTAAAATCTTAATTTTTATTGCATTTTAATTTAATATTATCAAAAATTAAAATGCAATAAAAATTGAAATTCTAATAAAAAATACTTAGAGCCTCATTTTCTTAGCAAACCTCCCATATATTAAAAAATTATTTGTGATTTAATCATGTGATTTTATTTTTTAAGTAGTTGAAATAAATTAAAATGCAAAACAAAATGCAAATTGTTTAAGTAAAATTTTAATATAAAATTCAAAAAAGCCTAAGTTTTACAATATTTTTCAAAATATATGTTATTTATTAATAGTATATAAATTTACTTAAATCAGTTTCATTAATAAGCTTTTACTTTTTTTAAGATGATTGTATATAATTGTCGGGTTATTTATATTAATTTATCTTGGATTTTTTTGTTTAGAAGGTACAATTATTTAAAAATTGAGTTATAAATAATAAAAAAATAAAACTATAAAGCTTATTATATTTGGCATGTAACTTGATATATATTAATAGCAAACCACCCATATTTATTAATAAAATAAAATTGTACTTTTATATTTTAGGTTACTAACATAGAAATCATAGGATCCATAACATGATTTAATAGCAACCACCCAAATATAATATCAAAAGCAGATATATCATATGCATGAATTTATTAGCGTCGGCCGAAACCCAAAAATATGTATTTTATACTTACCAAAACTAGCTTAGTTTATAGCCGAAACTAGCCAAAATTAGTTTAAAAACACAAATAATAAAAGTTATACCTGTTGAAAACCTTTAATACAAAAAAAAAAAATATACCTTTTTGCAATGTATAAAATCATTACTAATCACCCACTTGGATATACAGGATTGTATATAATTACCGAAAAAGTACCGAAAATTATGTAATTTACCAGTAAATTACCAAAAATATAAGTAAATTACCTTCAAATTTATAAATTACCGTAATTTTACAAGCAATGTTTGTTTTTGTAAATTTTAAAAAGCACCAGTAATTCTATCACGAATTTAAAATGTAAATAAAAAAAAATAACCAGTAAATATTGATTCTTTAAATTGTTATTGTTGAACAAAACCTGAAACATTACGCCAAGTATTTTATTTTATTTAACCTTAAATAGGTATGTAACCTTTGAACTTAATAAAAAAAAACCAAATATATCGCCAAGTCTTTGTCATCCTTACACGTTAAAAGATGATTTCAATAATCTCACGATATTTATAAATATACTTAATAAATAATGATAAATTTTACCTTGGTCAATCAATGATCATCAATCATCATCATCGCATGCCGATAAATACGAAATAAGGTTCTTCGTTGCCATCTTCAAAGAATGAGCCAAGTAACTTTATGAAAAAGAAAATAATAAATTGTTAATTAAAAGCTGTTACACCAGAAAATAAATATTGTTTTTTTTTTGTTTGCTCGAAAGCTTTATTCAAGATGAAAATTCCTGCTTTTAATAAAAATATTAAAATTAATTAATTGAATTTGCAGATTTTACTTTTTTAACGAATGAATCAAAGTATAGTATTTGAGAAATATTATATCATATAATTGAAATAATGACAAAATCGAATTATTCATCGTTGAGTTCATGTTTTTCCATTTGATGAGAATTGAATCGAACTTTTTGATTGTTTATCATAGTAATTCATTGTCCCTGCATAAATAAATATTTGTTTGATTTATTTTGTATCACATATATATTTGATAAAAGGACAACAAGACTTAGTTGATCTGTGTTATTTATAGAAAATTTATTCCGTTCCTTGAGACATTTTTGCCAATAATAATACAATATCATTTTGCCATTGGATGAATCGAATAAGCATAAAAATAAAAAAAACGCACTCACAAATATTTTTCTTTGTTAGAACCATTTTAACCATCGAAATAATTAATCATGTACTAAAGAATCGATTCAGATCATTTTATTAAATTAGGGAATTGATACTAAAAGAACCTGATTTGGTTAACACATAGTCCCATTTGAAATTCCGAATTGAATTGCTAAATATTCTAAATAAAGGAATCGATATGATGTGTTTATGCTTTGATTTATAAGAAAAAATTCTTTTCAATGCTTCCAAAAATACCAAAAATCTTTTTTTTTTTTTTTAATACGCCTAGAATTTGAATTTGGTTAGTCGCTTGTATGAAAAAAAAATAAAGGGATCTCGGCAAGCAGCATGTGAAGTTTTTAAAAATCTAGACTTTAAGGGAGAATGTTTGCGTTTTCATTTTTTTGTCTTCCCAATTTAAGTATACTTCTTGTCTCGTTTTGAAGATGGTTATTTTTCGACTTACATTGTTCTCCTTGATCAAGACTGTACCACTAATTCTCAATAAGTCACTTTCATACATTTTACGAAATGCTATTTTTAGTCCATAGTTTACCGCATTGAAAAGTACCGACTTAATAAAAAAAAAAAACAAAGAGAGAGAGATCTTATCGTAATGTTATTTTCATGGTTATTCATTTAAGAACGAAAAAGAGATTTAATTCATTCTTTTTTGTAAATAATAATAAACACTTGTCAAATTTGGTGAAATTGATAGAAAAAAATTATAATGAACAAATTAAGCAATGCATAATTTCACAATCAATAATACTTTTAACTCTATAAATATACATGGTGTGTGTGTGTAAAGGTGTTCAAACAACAAAAAAAAAAGACATTTCTTTATCATTATAGAATTTTCGTGTAATAGAAAGAAACATTAAAATGAAACTTGAGATATCTTTCTTAGTTTTGTTCATAACATCCGCGTTATCAAACCCAATTTTTGTTAGACAAGAACATAAACGAAATTTGGATTTACAGACAAATATTTTTGAACATTTTCTTCCATTACCTAAAACTAATACACCCGTATCAAGATATTATGATCTTGTTGTGTCTCGAACAGAATTAGCCCCAGATGGATGTCTAACAGAAGCATTTACCGTGAATAATCAATATCCTGCTCCTATAATTCATGTAAACAAAGGCGATAGAATTATTGCCAAAGTGACGAATCATCTTGGTCCAAATGAACCAACAGGTAAGTAATTTTCATCATCCTCTTCGACAATCTATCCAATATTGGTTTTTGTAACTTTCTTTCAAACGTACTCTAGCAATGCATTGGCATGGCATGTTTCAAAGAGGAACAAACTGGTATGTAAGGAAATCAGTATTTCGCATCATTGAAAAATTCAAAGTTTATTAATCCAATCTTCGAATCTTGGACCGATAGGTACGACGGGGTACCAGGAATGGTAATTGAAAATTCAGTTTGTCTTTATTCTCCTTTTCTCTCTCTTATTCGTGATACAAACCAAAACTTTTTGAACATTTTACACGTAAAACCTCCAGACACAATGTCCCATTCCTAATGACGTGTCATTTGTATACGATTTTTCAACTGGTAAACAATCCGGCACCTTTTGGTACCATGCACATATACGGGGACAATATGCGGAAGGCATTCGAGGTCCATTAATGTAGGGTCCATAACTTTTATTATTTTGTAATTTTTTTCTATATTGAACTAATAATTTTTTTTTTTTAAACACAGCATTCACGATCCTGATGATCCTTACCGTGATAACTACGATTATGAATATGCCGTGACACTTTCGGATTGGTACCATGATAGAATTGCAGAATTGATAGAGAAAAGAATGGCACCATCTTATGGTGGTTTTAATGTAATTTAATCTTTAAATTTTTAAATTTTAAAATTTTAAAATGGTTTTTAAAAAAACGATTTCCTATATATTTTTATATAAATATAAATGTATAAATTTTTATTTTTATTTTTTTTATTTTTTAGCCAATTGCGGACTCTGGTCTCATAAGTGGAGTTGGTCGTTATGACTGTTCTGCCGCTCCAGCGGGAAGCAAATGCCAAAAAGACAATCCATTGGCGGTGTACAAATTTAAATCCGGTAAAAGATATAGGCTTCGTTTAATCAATACAAGGTGAGTTAAGAGAGTAAATGAAATGATGTTTTCGTGAATGTTTTGTTTAAATTGCTTATTTGTTTCATCATTAAACCCCTTTCACTTAGCGCAATGGCTCACTTCATTTTCTCGATCGATTCCCATCCGCTCATGATTATCGAGGCAGATGGATCATACACAATTCCATACACGGTCAACAGATTGCCTATTGCTATTGGCCAACGATATTCTGTTATCGTTAAAGCCGATCAAAAAATCGATAATTATTGGATTCGAGCATCGATTGATAGTAGATGTATACTGAATACTACTGAAACGCTCAATTCCAATTCTGCCATAAATTATAACGTTACAGGAATTTTAAGATATATCGGAGCAGAGAAAATTGAACCAACGACCACCGCTTTTACTGAAGAACTTCCAGTTTGTCTTGGTGTTCCCCAAAATAATTTGAAATTATTAAAGCCTGAACCAGTTCCTGGACCTGTTACGGATCACATTTTGTTTAACGTCACGTTTGGCACAGATCAATTTAATATTTCACGTGCCTTTATTAATAATTCTTCGTTCGTTGGGGACATTAATGATCCGACAATAAAGAAATTGGCGACGCATGAGATAAATTCGGTAGCTGAAATCCCTCTTAAGGCAAATGCTTATCCTTTAGAAAACCCAGATGGAGTCGTTGATATTACAATTTTAAGTAAGATAAATCTATCTCTGTACGAGTTTACTGCGATGTTTTAACCGCATGATATTTAAGCTAAAAGAAAAAAAATTTTTTCTCTTTAATGATGAAAATTAAGATTCAAATGGTGGGATTCATCCGTTCCATTTACACGGACATATATTTTATGTGCTTGGTACTGGACCAGGATTGGTAGTCGACGAATCTCTATTGAATTTAGTGGATCCATTTCCTCGTGACGTATTCTCAGTGAATGCAACCAGGTATATTGTCACGATTGTCGTAAATAATTGTTCATTCTACCTTTTTATACTAAAAATGAAAAATTTGTTTAAAATAGTTGGGCTAGATTTCGTTTCAAAACTAATAATCCCGGTGTCTGGTCTTTCCATTGTCACATCGAGGTATTTATTAAAAAAAAAAATCTGGATAAGATATATACATCATATCGTTTTAACTATAATTAAAAATTATTCTATCTTTCTAGTTTCACGTTGAAATGGGAATGATCGCGCAATTGGTAGAGTTACCAAATGAATTATCAAAAGTACAATTACCGGAACCCGTTCTTGACCTGTGTGAAAAATATTCATCATCAAACAAGCCCGATTCCAAAAAAAGAAGCAATAATAGATTAAAGGTTGACATGAAAGTACTTAAAGTGTAAAATATAAAGACATTGTCATTTTACCACATTTCAAAGATATCTTGTAAAATAATTATGTAATAATAATCTATATTATGTTTCTATTGCTTAATTAAAAATAAAATTAGTAATTTTAAAAATTAATAATCGTGGAAGGAATCCTTTGTGTCTTCTTGACCAGTTTAGGGTTACTAGTAGAACTGCTATTATCATTATTAGATGCGGTTGTTAAAGTTGTGGCATCAGATGATGAATTGATTGAATGCCTTGGACTTGATCCTTCATAATTTCCCCATTCAGCCTTTTTTGATCTGAAATAATTATCATCAACATAAAATGAATGAAAAGAACCTTGTCTAGTATTACGTTTAGGAGATATGGGACTCTGACTGAGCGAATTATCAAATGAGCTGTTCATTGACAAATGTATCTCTCCAAAATCGGTAGTTTGACCATTAATTGTCGTATCAGTTCCTTCACGACGAACTCCTATTATACTATTTACACGTAACTTGGATCCCGGCAATTTTGTTACGTAAGTGCTACAGAAATTTCAATCACGTATTTAGATTTCGACGAAGGAAAAAAAAAATTTTTTTTTCTTTATATTTCCTTACTTGTAAATCATGACCCATTGCGAAATGTGAATTGCAATGGGAATTCCATACTGCCAAATTATTAGGTAGGCGATATTGATCCCATAGATAAATATCGTATTCGTTCTATGTAAGGCTCCGTAGAATACTAGGGCCAAAATATAAAGGCATGCCGGAATTAATTGCCACGTGCCTGGAATGGTGATCTAGAGTCAAAAAAAAAAAAATTTGTTGAAACTTTTAAAATTAAATAAAAAAAAAAATTAAAACTAAAAGATAAAGAAATAAATAAATAAATAAAACTAAAAAAAATAAAAAATAAAACGAATCAATAGGTAAGGTTTATCCCTACTTTATCACGGCTTTGTTTAAATTGCTCAAGTTTCAATTCCAATTCGGGATTTTTCTCATTATTCATTGTCAAATCAACGTTTTCTAAAATACTTGGAAAAATTCGTGACCAGAAATACACCATCGCCCCTATGTAAAGGATTCCCCATATGGCCCAACAGATATTATGCGCTATGAAATAACTATTCGCCTTTGCAATATTTCCAATATCTGCATAACGACCTGTGTGAATGATTTTTGATTTGGGTTAGATATAAAATTTTTCAATGTTTTTCAATAATTCTAAAATTTTCGTACCAGTCATTCCGGCCAAGGGAAGAAAGATAACAAGGGGGGATAACATGATGGAGATGCATGTGATATCTATTCTTTTTAATAGGTTCAATGATCCTTTCATGGATCCCATTGAAGACAGTGTTGTATCTATTTCAATGGCTCCTGTTGAATATACTGAAAAAAAGAGAGCATTTTCTATTATCAAAAGAAAGAAAAACAAAGAAAAAAAAATCTTGACAGCTGTTCTTGATGACTAACAAATGCTTAATGGATATAATATCGAAAATGATGCCGTTAGGGTACGCGGTAAGATTTGGAAAACTTTGCGTAAGAAATAAATTACAATTTTTAAAAAAAAATTTTTGATAAAAAAAAAAAGATTCAATTCTTATTTATAAAGATTGACATACTTTCGGCCCACATGGCGTTAGGATAAAGGTCGTTAAGCAACTGAAGCATATGAATAATCTTCCCTGAATAAAAATAAGTTGATTAATTCAAAACCATTATTATAAAACCATTTCACATTTTTTGATTGGACAACTTACAAGGACAATATACCAATGCCAACGCATAACAAGTGTGTTGGGGTCGAGGTCTCAAAAATCCACGATCTTTTCTTGCAGGAAGGAAGAAAGGCTCCTTCTTTACATGAATCAATTGATATAAACAAATTGAAGCTACAATGCTTAATAATAAACAATAAGGGATTAAAATCCAATCCGCGATTATATAAACTTCCTGTTCAGGACATCCATGAATATTGACTCGAAAATCACAAGCACAATCTCTAGTATCCCATACAAATTTGTTATGGAGATTATACCCTTTACAAACAAGAGTAAAGCTATTTAATAAATGGGCCATAATAAATTAATTATCTAAAATTTTGAATAAATAAATAAATAATTTAATTCGTGCGAAGTTCTAAATTATTGACACGAACATCACTGAAAGTGAGAAATAATAAAACAAAAAAAAAATTCACCTTTTGAACAATTTTTTTTTTTTTTTTTTTTGGATTTGTTTTAAATAATTAGAAATTATAATGCTTAATGTGCATAATAAATAGAATAATTTTAACAACTAGTGCACAACGTAACTATGTTTGTTGTAATTTATGTATATTTTTAAAACGTATTTTACAAAATATTAATAAATTTTACACATCATAATGATCAAAAACACCTTTACCGACAAAATTCAACAATGAAAAAAAAAAGAAAAATCAATGTGCAAAAATTTGTCATAAAATCGCCACAATCCATCCTTTTATATTGTGAGACGGCGTTTCTTTCAGATGCAAGAAAATTTACATTCTGCATCGAAGCATGATGCAATCCAATCAGCAAATCTAAATCCGTGGACTTGTGTAGCTATCTTAATTAAATTACTTTAACACATACATAAAACGAGGTAACTCGTTATATAATTTTTTATGAAACGATTTGGAAAACAAACAAACAAAATTATGATAAATGCAATCCCCGCAATAAATGCGTTCTGAAATTCCAAAGAATTTTCTTTATTAAATATTTATCATCTACATTTGATGACATATTGAGCCTTAATTAAGAAATATTAATTCATTATATTACATAACTGAGATGTATGTATGGTTTAAAAAAATTCAAAGTTTATGCCAAGAAATGGCGACCCTAAAGGTTATTTCTTGAATGCTTTTATATAACTTGAAAAAATAATGAAAAGCAACAAATAATCCATTTTTGGTTTATTTAGTCCCCACATTTTTTTTCTCAATCCGCTTTTTTTTTTTTTAAAAAAAAAAACAAAGGTGGACCGAATCGTAGATTCACCAGATTCAGATGGGATGATGTTTATATAAATAGTAATTAAAAATGTTCCTTTTATAATTAATAATTAGTAAACTGATTCGTCGGATTATTTATGATAATATAAACATACAATTATCAAATTACCAAACATAATTTTGATTTTTAATGAAATACATCATCTTTTTAAAAAGTGAAAAAAGATTCGATTTAGAAAACCCAACATTATAGATCGAAAAAAATTTAATTAAATTTTCTGCCCTCGTGCGAATAAAGTTGGGGGGTTTTTTTTGAACAAATGCAAGTAACTTTAATATTGTTTTGATTACCGTTGAATTTGTATTTAATTATGATGATTTCCAAATTAGGAAAAATATTTTTCCATTCATTTCACTTCCAAATATAATATAAAAATAAATTATTTCCAACCAATATGATTAAAAATCTCACCAATGATGACCCTTGCTTAATTATTCGTATAAAAAATTAGTTCAGCGTTATGTAAAATTTGTAACACATAAATGAAGATTAGATAATATGAGATCTTTTTTAATTTAAAAAGATATTCTTTTTGATCTACTTTTTCCTTCTTCAACAAATCTTATATACAATGATTAATAATGATTAATGTTAATGATTTTCAAAATGAATATTTAAAAAACCAATCAGAGATCAAAGATAATTTAGATTATCAAATGTAAAGTGCCTTACTCGTAAGTATTACAAATAATTGGTAAAATTAATTTGTTTTACAATGGCGCAGGAGCCAATTTTATTTATTTTGTCGATTTTAAACAATAAATAAATAAATAATAAATAAATCTCGTTTAAATCGTTCCATCCCATGAATTCCCAGATAGTATTTATTATTTGGACAAACTTTTGAATGAGATTCAGGTGAGAAGAAGTATGCAAACATAGAAAGGTAAATGATTTGTAGTTAAAACTTGTATGAGATCTGCTTTGGTGGTCCTTTTGTTCTTATTTTTTTTTAATTCTACAAAAAAAATTTTTCTCAACTCGTGATTTTGGTGTAGCAATGTTATCACCAATCGTCATTCACCATACATGAATAATAAATTGAAAATAAATAATAAATTTATTATTTAATTTATTAATATTTATTTGTTTGCTTTAAACTTTATTTTGTGTCACAATGATGGAAAAAATTTGCGTTACACGGAAAGTTAGCAAACAAAAATTAAAGCGAACCAATGAGATTTCAAATGGAATAATTTTCTTGATTTTTGGGCTAAATCGATTTTATTTTTTGGAAAGTTTTATAATTAGTCCAACCTCAACCCAGGAAAAAAAGGAGAGCATAAAAAACAAGAAAGACTCTTTTAGAAAAATAAATATTTCCAGTACCGTTGAAATTAGCTTTTTTGTGATCCAATAATACGATTTTCCGCATCGGAAAAGGGATAGATTTCATTAAAAAAAATACATTTTACCAGCCCACGCAAACAATTTCATGCTTTTTTGGTAAATGGTATGTTTTCTGAGATCGAATCAGGAAAAGTCCATACCATATCCAAATCCCCTCTTTATTAACCCAAGTTCCAATGAGTGCAATTGTTTATTAATATTTTGTCTCACTTTCCTATTCTCCAAATTTGATTTTTTTTGGTAAAAAGCGCAAAGCAACGTTTGGTTCAGTCCAGGTTACACGATTAGCTTATATTTATATCACGGTACATCCATTCACTAAAAGAAATTTTTTTGTTGTCTATTTATGTGTTCTTTGAAGTTTTTACTAAAAAAGTCATTCCTTCTCTATATTTATCATATCTTTACCTCGTCCTTTTTTTAAAAATTGTCCCTTTTTAACCTGTGGTTTCCTTCTTTGACTTTCTTTTTCTTTCTTAATCACTCTTTTCGGTTAAGACTCTTTTGGGAGTTCATACCATCATATATATTTTTTATTTTATAATAAAAAATAAAAAAAAAAAAAAAAAAAAAAAAAAAAAAAAAAAAAAAATAATAATTAATCTCTTTTACAAAAATAAATTTGAATCCTTTTTTTTTTTTTTTTAAAAAAAAAAAATAAAAAAAATTAAATAAAATATTTAAAAAAATTTTTTTTTGTTTTATTTTATTTTTATCTTTTTTTTATTTTTTTTTTTTTATCATTTAATTTCTTTTTAGACACGTTTAATAATGAATCGGACAAAAGTGACAGTTGCTTGCCAGGCATGTCAGAAAAAGAAAGTGAAGTGTACAGGGAGTTCGCCCTGTGCCAATTGTTCGAGAAGCGGTCACAGCTGTATCTTTTCCAATACGGCAAAAAAGAGAGGTCCAAGAAATGGTAATGTCGAAGTGATAAAAAGCTCGGCACATAGAATCGAATACGTTTTGCAGAACTATCCAAGTTTGCGAGATCAAATCGAGCAAATGCTTGATGGCAAAAATGAAAGTAGTAACAACAATAAACCATCTCGAAATATTCACCCAATGAGACTGCAATCCTTAATCGGCTCGCCTTTACCGAAAAGTCACGTTATTGTAGACGATGATAAAAATAAAACCAAAAACATTGGATTATCATCATTTCCATATTTGGTGCCAACGAAATCTGTTCACCGTCAAGATGATATCACCATTAGGTCGCCAAGTCAAGATCAAGATCAAGTCGATGAGCAAGAGAATCGACTACCCGTTTTCTGTAAACCTTTGCCCCTTTACCCTTCGAATATGCAAAGGAATCATGTAATACCACGATCTGATATTAATAGATACGCTCAAGCGAGCCCGCTTACGTCGCAAAGTAAAATAACTGAACTTGCTACTTTGATAAACAAACCACCTTCCTTGCCGCCTTTTAGTTCCATAATGGAAGAAGTATCATCGAAAGATGAAGGACCGGATGATGAAAACGATTTAACATTACCAACTCCCCATAATATGTTCCAGAGGAAGGCAATGGCAATGTCAATTTATAGTACTTCTCTAGGAACTCAGTTGTTCCTTCCTGCATCTGCTGATAATTCATTAGACGATTTACAAAAATCCTTGATTTCCAGCTCATATCAACAAAATCCCGAAGGTACTTTACCGCTAAATGACAAAAATTCTCCCGAACATGGGAGAATTTTAGCAGGATTGAATGAGATGTTTAGAAGCGAAAATACTTGTACAAGGATTTCGTTACCTTCACCACCTTCGCATTTTTCTTTATCGTCGTCCCCTCGATCAACGTGTACAAATTATCCTCCCACACCAACTTCCTCGGTGTCACCCCCACCTTCGCCACACATAAAATCCAAACGTTCCTCTATTCACCTTTTGTCGAAACCGGCACCTTGGTGTGCAAACGTTATTAATGAGGATCGTGAGGATCGTTCTTTATGGTACAATCGTTCCCACTTTCAACCGAATCATCTTATGGAAACTGATGGTTCTTATTGATAAGAATGAAAAACAATAATACATATAAATTCAAAAAAAAAATAATAATAATAGACTAAATAATGTTAGTCCAATATGATTAAAATCTTTAATAATAATGACGTTTTATACGCGTAAATTAAAATTAAGGTATTAAGGTACCAAGTCTATAAATTAAGTTTTACATTAAATTAATTTTCTAATAACAAAAAAAAAAGAGAAAAAAAAAGTTATGTTAATATATGGTAAGTTAATAATAAAGTGTGGAGCACCACATAAAAGTACAAGCTTTTAATTAATCTATGACGTGAGTTAGTATACGGCTATTTACCTACGATCAAATCGTTTTGTTTTGTTTTGGTTTTTTTTTGATTCTTTTTTTTTAAAAAAAAAAAATAAAAGAAAAGTAAAAAATAAAAGAAAGAAAGAAATTATGATAAAATAATTATATTATAATTGCAACTTTAAATTTTTCACAATTTCGGTCAGTCACTGAAAATATAAATAACAATTATGATCAAAGCTGCGCCACCCAAACAATGTCATTATTTATCCTTTCGATGGGCTCGCAAATGAAATGTCGAGTTTATCGTAATCATCTAATCTTTAGTTCATTCTTTATCTAGTTTTGGATTTTCGTATACCTTTACTTTATTAGTTGATAGTCCTAATACCGATTATGTAACCGTAATAGTAAATAAATGAAAAAAAATTTCTAATATTTAGAATGTCATTTCATGAAATAATAATATTTAGGTTTAAAGAAAGAATGTTATTATCACGACAGATTTAGTAAATAACAAAAAAATAGTTCATTTATAATATGTATTTATTTTGACGAAGAATAGAATCTTTATTAGTTTTGCAAATTTGAACTTGCTTTCTATTTTCCTAATAAGCAAACGAAACCCCTTTTTCGTTGTACACAAAAGAAATTGTAATGGATAATACTCCAGTCGAAAATTTTCGTAAGTATGAAAAAGGATTCACCATAAATAGTAAATACATAATTCTTTTGTTTTTAATATTTTTGATTTTTTATTTTATAAAAAAAAGCCGTATTTGTACGGACGAATTACATAGGATTTAGTATTGTCGGATCACTTTTCGTCTTTGCATTCTTTATATATCTAGTTGGAAAATGTATGAATAATAGAGTAAGTAACTTAATGCTAATGTTTACAATTATTATGAATACATACTAAAACATATGTAACTTAGGGAAAAAACTTCGTAATGTTCAACTTTCTATTGATATGTTATGATTTGGCATTTGACATAGCATTTCTAGTGAAGAGTGTGAGAAACATTCCGGAATTGTTCAAACCAGCGTAAGTAGAAGTTTTTGTTTCAATTTTTTTTCCTAAAATGGACTCAACAATTCCTCACTGCTATTTTTAGATTGATAATCTTAATAATTTCAGGATCAATCAATATAATATTCGGGTTTGCAGTTATAATACATCAAAGATATTATAATCCAGCATTTTTAGGTTGGTTTAAAGATCATCATAGATTCGCAGCGGTGATAACGGTATTTTCTGCGATAAATATACAAGCGTTAAAAGTCGTTTCATCAAATTTCGGAGGAATGGACATATATAGTGCAAGATATTCCGCTAATGTACAAAGAGCCATTGCATGGGTTGGAGTTTTAAACTTTGGTTTTCAAGATATACCTCAGCTAGTTATTTTGGTAAGTTTTTTTTAAATCATGAATTCAGACTTGGTTTGATGATGATGTTAAAAAGCAAAATTTTCGTATCACCTTTTAGGTAAAATATTGGAACCTGACGGAAGGATATACATTTATTCCATTTATGAACCTGATTTTAAATGTTGTAATATTATTCATTGACTTCTTTGGAAGAATCTATGATGCTGTGATCATTACAAATGATGAAGATGGTACCACGCGTAATTTGAACAATCGATCAGCCGATAGTACTCAGCAGTATAGCATGCGAGTTGGGGCTCCTTAAAGGGAAGACATTTTAGACTATTTTTTGTTTGTGGGGCGTTTGAATAACAATAAAGAATGATGATTGATAACTTATTTAAATGTGATGTGTTATTATGTTCATGCTTTTGCACAAGGAAAACGAGATTAAGACGTTCAGTATCAGGTTACCTATGGTACACTTGTTCTATGACTGGGTTGAATTGGTTAGGGGCTTCGTTCTCAAAAAAAAAAAAAAATGGAATCGATTCTAAACTGGTATCAAAAACCAGTTTTAAATCGATTATTCCTCAAATGACAACTATTGATCATAATATGGTCATAATTCATGATACGTGTTCCACAAATTATTTAAAAAAAAATAAAATAAAATAAAATAAAACACGATGTCGGGTGGTTTTCCTTTTGGAAGTTGCGATTAGGATTTTTATCATGTCTTCAGATGTTTCGTTTTCTTTGTATCAATTGTTTTAAAGTAATTTAATGGTATACATGAACTTATATATCGAACAATTATTATTATTATTATTATTATTATTATTGAAAAGGGCGCCTTTGTTTTTGTTGTTTTGATTTGAAAATTACATAAAATTCAAAAAACTTTTTTGAAATTGAATTTTATGGAATGAATGATATCTCGTTTCTTTTGGAAGAAAAGCTGTATTTCCGAAACGGAAAATTCAAGGAAAAAGAATGACGTACGTTGTTCTCGGAATTATCCAATGACGCTTGTCACGTGAAGAAAACGCCAGTAATCCGTTTTTTTATGAATTCGCGTAAATTTAAAAACGTCATTCTTATCAAGTTTACGATTGAAACTTTTTTTAAAAAGTAAAACACGATGTATCCCCTACAGATCTGATCGTTTGGGAACTTTTGCAATAGACAGGGTTGAAAATACCAGAAAAGCAAATTTATTTTTATAAATATTAGCAAAGGTCCCATTTGGTCAAAATGACTATACGAGATCTTTCCAAATGTACCCTCTATAAATGCACGCACTATATAAATTCTCCTTAATTATTTTACTCTCCGTATATATGCACACCTTTCTAAAATGCACGTTCTTGCTTTTTCTTATATGTCTTAATAGTCTCAATAGGGATACATTTAGAGAGTTTTGACGGTTTAGTGAATTTGACGTTTTGGACAAATCAAAAATAATTCCGGCCAAAAGTTTCAATTGAAGATAGCAACAAAAAAAAATTTCACGTGTGGCGTTTAGAAATCAGATAACATGTACCATCTTACATTAACATGTAACCCAAAATACCATCTTACATTATCAGATTTTAATAAATTATTAAATCTTGTTAGTACCTGAGAAAGTTTTTCTTGCAAACAAAGAAAAACGATAAATATAGAATTTAATTGTTTAATGCGTTTTCTATTGAACCCTTCTTTTTATATTAAGTAATGTATGTGTATAGATCTGTTTTTATGTGTTTGGGGTCAATTTATATAAAATTAATTAAAATCAAAACAATGGAATCTTCATTCATTATTCTAATAATGAATACAAAAAAAAAAAAATTTTTTGTAATAAAAAATGTAATGTATCACGAAAATAATCCCATGCATGATTTTAGACTGAACATCACTGGCCGGAATTTTTTTTATTTTGGCATAGTTTTCACCATAACGAGAACAAATTTATATTAGAATCTTATTATGACGTTGTCGCCTTTCAATGCGTGTTATCATAGAATCTGATAATGTTATATGCACATTTGATTTTTCATGGTTCGTACAAAGATGCAATGCATAAACATTCAAAAAAAAAAATTTTTTTTTCAATGGAAACGAACAAATAAGTTCTAGTCAAAAATAAGAAAAATTTTAATAAAAATAAAGGTGTCTTGGTGGAATATGAATTTCTTTGCCGTATCCTAACTCCCTTTAACGACATGAGATATTAAAGATTCACGTGCCATTTTTAACGAAAGTTATTCTTATAGGCTCAATCGCATTGTTCTTTCTTTACTGCTTTTCTTCGTAACCCTTCTTAAAAAAAAACCAAAATAAAATCTATGCCAAATTTTTAAATAATTTATTACCCTTGTTATAAAATGACTTCATTTATACCGTTCGCTTTTGTCTCATCATTTTTAATTCACGCTAGTGACGCTACCCCGATAAATCCGTTATCTACCAATGATAATTCGAATGATTTATTGCGTAAAGGACATAGCGTCCAAGAAATAAATTCTTTATATAGTGTAGGATTGTCCCTTTTACAATTCGACCTTTTATGTATCTTGTACGTATTCTTTAGAACGTTTATGCGTGCAAATATGGAGAGTCGTAAGGAAAGAACCTTATCGATGACGCATAGATTGCCCTTTTATATGGCAAGCTCAGGTAACTTTTCTTATAATCGAATCCTTGCAATTCAAATCACGTACAATGAATCACAAACATTTTAACCTTTCTTTAGACCTCTTTATTTACGCTTCTTTAACCGCAAATCTAGTAATTATTTCTTTTGATGATATTCAAGTTATTTATTTGTTCTTATGATTAATTAGTCTTATTAACAGATCTACCCGGTTTTTAATGGCCGGACATGGTTGGGTAACTCCTGTAGAATCGTTTCAGCCAGCTTTTACATTGCATCCATTGGTAACATGCTATTGGTTTGTGAGCTCTCCGTACTTAGTTGGCTAAGAGGTAAATAGTGATATTAACGATAGAATTGGATTTCAATTTATAACAAAACTCGCAAGATCATCTAATGATAAGAATCGTATATATTAAAGTTTGCAAGAAGACTTATTTACATCTTGGAAAGTTCGATTATAGAATATTCATTGCACCTTTTTTCATTCCATTAATAATTACCATCCCTGCATTTAAATCTTTTGGTTCAGATGAATATTGGTAAGTTTGAAAACTGTTTCTTTTTGATAAGTTTTGATCATTTATTTATTCACCTGATAAAAAAAATATATATACTGTAGGTGCTTTATGCTTCATGATAATATCGTTTTTCGTGGTCTATTGCTATCAATCTCTTTTACTGTCTTTACGATAACGACATTTTGTTATATAAGTATTATTTACGAAATCAAAACTGTGGAAATTAATTGTGGAAATCATCACTTTTACCGTGCAACACGCAAAATTAGCGCATACTTGTCAATGTATATTTTGCAATGGGTGGGTATTTGATTTGTTAATTTGATTTTTTCATTTGATCATTGATTTAATATAATATATATATATATACATATTTTTATTAGACACCCTTCATGATTTTCGTTATTATTGATTCTCTTCACGTAAGTTTTTTTTTCCATGACGTTAAAGATTCTATCGAAATCGATATTAATTTTTTTTTTTTAAAAAAAAATCTTTAGCACGCCGAGATGTACGTTTTCTTTGCTTGTACAGCTTTTATCCCAATCGGTGGAATCCTTAATGCTGCGCAATACATTCTTAACGAGGGATGGTTTCATAACGAAATTCAATCTCACGGCCTTTCACGTTGGTCACAACCAACGACACCAAAATCTGCCAATGCCCTACGTATGCTTGGCGATGATGCAGATGACCTTAAGATGGATAAGTTAAAGTCTAAAGTTAATAATAACAATGTCGTCGACATAGAAACTGTAGACCTGTCTGAACTATGCAATTTGGAATCTCCTCAACCGGAAAATTCTAAACGCATTTCGATTTCCTTCAAAAACTAAATTAAGTCCTTTTTTTTTAAAGTCCTTGAAAAAAAATCCCCTTGTTTCTTCACCTTAATAAATTCTCGCGGGAACGGCCAAACCATAAGAATTTACTTTATTTTTTTTTGTAATTTTAGAATATTTTCCCCCAAAAAAAAAAAAAAAGGTTTTGTATTTAAACAAAATTACCTTATTTTTATTAGCTTAGGCGTCATTTACGAAAAATCCTTTATGTTGGTTACGGATTATTACCCTTGTTTCATTTTTTTAAAAATTCACATTTGTATATATATAGATTAAAGCATATTGCATAACAGTTCATACAAAAACCATTTTCAAAAAAATTTTCATATAATGATTAATTTTGTCATAAAAAACGGCGTTCCGCAACGAAAAAAATATATTTCGCTCTCGAAAAAATTGAAAGTTTGACGCGTTAGCACGTATTATATGTAAGGTTGTTAAATGATGTCCGAAATTTTCATTATTTTTTTTATGAGAGGGAGAGAGAAATTCGGCAAAGAAAATTTCATAAATTTGATGTATATATTATATACATTTAACATGCATCGATATTTTCCCTTCCAAATTTGTAAAATTTGTGAGCCTGCTGCTTCTTTTCATGCAGTACCGTAAAGGGTTTCCGTTTTGAAATAAATATTGAAATTTTTTATCAAGATAAACTTTCAAATATTGTTTCGAAACAGAAAAACCTCAACTTTTAGGATTTTACCATCTTTAAATGGCAACGCATTGAAATTGGTAATCTTTACTTTTGAAAATGTGACATTGTTTCTAATATCTCCTGTTTCGAAGTTGTTAATTCCGGAAATTAGTTTGGTTATGCTCATATTCGCATATCAAACGACCTCATTATTAATTAAAGTAATAGTTATAAAACTTTAAAATCAATTTCCGCCAAATCCACCATCATCATTTCAAAATGTTTTATATTTTTAATTTGTTACTTTTGAAAAATTAACTCTATTTGCAAAGTGTTTTAACTAATTACTGACTTAAAGAACTTTTAAAAATATATATATATATGAACATATGAGTATTTGCTAAGAAAATACCTATATACGTACTGTATAAAATGTAATTATAGATTATCAAGTTTATTAATAACTTCGACCTAACAAAAATGTGCTTTATACTGATCAATATAAACATACTAAAAAAAAAAACTTCTTTGGACCAAATTTTTTTCCTGTCGAAAATACAATCCGAATTCTGGAAGATCCGAATTCAATCCAGAATTCATGAATCCAGTTCCATGTCTTCTTTTCTAATTGTATTTTTTTGGGTAGCTTTTTCATGATTTTTTTCTGATTCAAGCAAGATAATGGTAGCTTTCATCAAGTAATTCAGCATATTGAAACCTCTATTGGTGACACGCAAATATCAATCTTAATTGCGTAAATTTAGACAGTTAAAATATTATTTATTAGTATGAACCAAAAAAGATCATATTTCTTTATTTATGATATGATAAGCTTACCAATTTGAAGCCAAACATTAACAATTAAATCCACGCGTTGATTAAATTAAATCAATGTTAAGACATTTTTGAGTCTATCACAAAGTTAAGGTTATCACGAATGATAAACCATGAGTTATGTTTCATCCATTCGCTTTAAAAAAGGATACATTTTTTCAATACATCCCAATTTCTTCCCCTTTATGTGAAAATAATTTAATTTATAATTAAATGCAAAAACGCTAGGTGATAGCGGAAGTGTTGTACTCATTTTTATACCTCCTCCGTGAACATTCCTTGTAAAGAATGGATTTTATTTTACTATAAAATAATCAAAAAAAAATTAATGCCTATTAAATAAACAGATAATATAATTCACAAAACTTACAAATAACCTTTTTGTGATAGATTATGACATAAATAAATTATATAGACTCAGCAACGACAAAAAAAAAATTTGTAGATTTGTAAAATTTTACTTACGCTCCCCAAAGATTCTTTCCTACTTCTTTGAGAATAAATGACAGTAACTAAATGAGAAATGTGCCTTGACTTTTTTTTTAAAAAAAATTGGAGCTGTACTAACAAAGTTTATGAATTGGGAAAAACCTTGAGTTGTTTGATTCATTTAATTTTTAACCGAATTTTTGGATGCGGATTTGTGGCTTAGAATGATTATGTCATAGTTGATGAAAATAAATACGATCGTCAATTTTTCGGTGATAAAAAAAAATTATTTATTATTATTAAAATTTCAAGCCAGAGGCAGACCCACAAAAGTACTAGACTACGGCACACTTGGTTAAAAGGTAGCACCATGCATATTCTCACAGATCTAATTCAAGTCTTTAAACGTGTCAAGGCTCACCCTCTCCAGGCTAAGTGCTTGTGATAGGGACAAGATTTTTTAATTTGAATACCAGTTTAGAGGTAAGTATATAAAAAAAAAATTCCATCTTGATTTTTAATTAAAAATTCCCAAACCATAAATCTTATTTGAGATAATAGTTGTTATCATATATTTGAGAATTCCCTGTTAATTTAATATATTCATTCAAATTAATTTTTTTTTCTGGGTAAAAACCATTGAAAATTTTTACCTGATCAAAAAATTAATATGAACAAATTTTTGTCGTTGATAAAATTAGATTTGACGCGTAAACAGTTGTCGTTATCATCGGAATTTATGGATCTTTTGTCAATAGAACATTTATATGCAAATATTGTTCAGATTTAGTATTAACTCATTTTTAATTTTTCCCGGTATTTTTCCCCCTTTCTATTGCATTGCAAAGGTTTCATATGATCTACCTATGCATCGATTCGACTTTCATGTGAAGTTTTCAGAATAATAAGAATGTGCATGAATAAATTTATTTAAAGAGGGCAAAAAGAGGAGAAAACCTGAACGCCCGTGCCAGTGAAAACTCGGGTATGGGAGGATCTAAGATTATCTATTATTTCTTCCAAGGCAACGTGTGTTCGTCGCGAATATGATTAATGAGATTTTTAAAGCTCACAATAAAGATCTACGGTAAAAATCTTTACTTTACTTGAATTTACAATGTGAAAATTCACATCATTGTTTCTATTTTACACAACTTGTTGATCTCTGTTAATTGAATTTTCTTTTCAGCCGAAGATTCAGGGCTTGGTAATTTCATCATTAATCGTTGAGATAGTCAAAGATAAAAGGTAAAGGATTTCCCGGAAGAAATATACCGCTGTGTTTTTAACCGGAAAAAGTAAAATATAACAAATTACAAAACATACGCTAGTCTTGATTTAATATTATTATTTAATTTATTTTTAATTTATTTATTAGAATAAATTTATTATTAGATATCCCCCCATTTATTATATACCTATTTACTTAAGGTTACAAATATTTATGTAAAAACTGCATCATGTGCAATAAATCTCAATGCAAACGCCAAACACTCTATATATTGATAAATTTAGTTAAATTATAGTTCAACAAGTTTCGCTCTAAATAGTTGAAATGTCAGAAATTGTGCAAGTACACATAATATATCAGTAAACCTATCGAAGGAAGATTAGGTTAGTAAAAAAAATTTTTTTTGGTAAATAAATAAAGAAAATAATATCATGAACTTACCAATTATAATTGCCATTTTCAAAGCAATCAAAAAAATGATGAGTATGGACTTCCAGGTGTATCTCTTTGTTTTGGAACATGCAGGTTTGGCATTAGTCGAACATAAACTTCCCGGTGAATGTTCTTCAGAATATGTTTGTTCATTTTGAAGTTGTAAAAATTGCATTGAAATACGTGAATTAACTGGAGTAGCCGTAGGAGGTACTACTATCGTAATAGTACAATCATCATCATCTGTTGGAATTATAGATGAATTATAATTTTTTTCATCTAAAATGTTCTTTTCATTCGGTTCATTAACTTTGGTATCAGAAGGTTTAACCTTAGACTTGAATAGGGTCATATTTATTTATTTATTTTTTTATTTTTTTATTTAAAAACCTAAAAAAAAAAAATAATAATAAAATAAACTACTTTCTAAACCAAGCGAGAAAAAAAATGGAGCAAAAAAAAAAATTCAGAATTTTTTTGCTAAAAAAAAACTGAGGGTGTAAACCCCAAGTTATTAAATCAAAAAATCATCGGATTTTATTGTGTTCAATTTCCATATCTCAATTGAATTTCTTTGTTCCTATTGTCAATCTAATAAATTTCCGAGTTGAGGGAGTGTGACAAAAAGTGGCAAATTAGATTTGGAGTTCAAAAATAAAACAATGTCGGAGAGTAATGAACTTTCTATTTTTGAAATCATTTGGCTAAGTTTGAATTTCCGCAATAGAAATTTTGTCATTTTTTGAAACGATTTTTTTTACACAAATTTTATTTATAGGTTAAAAGAGATGTGATATATTTGGTTTAGCCTAAATTTTTTGGGCGTTCTTGTGAAATTGCGTCACGTGAATGAAAGATGGGATTTTTGTGAAATTGAATATCGTGATTCGATTTGATCCATATTATTATATTATAAATGAATCGCAAGGAAAAAATTACGGATCTTGGGTATTTTTCACATTGAAACTTTGAAACGTTGCGTTGTAATGAATATTTAAAAAATTTAAAATTTATAAATAAAATTGATAAGGATTTATGCAATGCGAAAATTGCATCATTGCTTTTGAATAAATCATAATTTATAATTATTTAATTTTTCATATATTAAAAATTCTTAAAATTTCCTATAGCTTATTCTTAGATGAGTAGTAAAAAAATTATATATAGTAAGAAATTTAATCGATTTTTCATAAGGGACCAAAAGAATTTACAAATATGGCTTTTCATATCATTTTCGTAGCAAGGATAAAAAAATTCGACATAGATAAAGAAAAAAAGAAATGAATCTAGACGTCCTTCCTCCACCGGTTTCGATACTTTGATCCGTTGATTTTTCTGTTTTTTTTTTCGTTTTTTTTTTATGAATGTTTTCTTTATAAAAAGTAAAGAAGGATGTAGTGTTTAAACTTGAAAACATTTCACATTTTTTTATTTTCGTTTGATTTTAAGACGAGGTTTAATGAATTGTTGAGAAATAAATGACGCGTTGTTTATTTGTTATCGAATTCACGCGTGTAATTTAAAAGAGTGAATTGTGAATAATGGTGGAGGAGGAGTCAATAATTTTTTTAAGCGAAAGTAATATTCGACTTAATTAAATTTGTCGTCCTTTAAATATTATTTTTTTTCGAAACAAGATTTTAGTGTAACTGAACGGATTTTTTTTTTAAAGAAAAAAAAACTCAATTATTTATTTACGCCATTTTTCACCACCAAACAAAATCCTTCCCCCATTTTTTTTTTACTTTATTATTTTATATTATCTAACTTATTTTTTCAAAAATATAGCAAGTGATCTTTTAATGAAAAATTCCAACCCTAATCATAGGAAAAAAAAAATGTTTATTCTTGATTTTTCCAAAAAAGGTCAAGATCTCTTTGTTTATGAATGGGGTTATGTAATAGAATAGAACCAATATTACATGAAACATGTAATATGAAACAATGATATATTTTTTGAGAACCAACTTCATTATAAAAAAAAAAAAGTTTAGCCACAAGAAATCCAAATTTAGTATAAATTGTCAAAACACATCATTTTCTCAGATTATATTAGCCAAGAAAGCCAACACGAGATTTTCTCGTGAAATCTTATATCTTGATTATATAATAGAAAAAGGTAAAATTCCGGATTAGAAAAATTTTCCTATTTACCATTATTTAAATTATCATGATATTCGGAAGACATTTGGGAAAATCAGATGGTGTCAATTTACGTTATTTCGAAGAAATTTAAGGTTTACATCAAATATTTCCATTCATAGAGTTTGAATAAATTTTCGAAAAAAAGAAGAAAAGAAAATCTCGAAACTTTCCAAATCCATCATGATTTGCTTACTAAAATAGTTTATTATACCCAAATTAAGTTAACAGACGTTTTTTATCGAAATTTTTTAAATGTTTCTTCTGAAAACAAATTAGATTCGATACCTCGTACAAAGTTCTAGAGTGCTAATTAGAAAAACGTTTTTTTCTCTTCTGAACAATGTTTTAATGCTGGAAATTCCCCATTTGATTGCAGCATTTTCTAAAAATAATGAAAAGTGTGTATTTATAATGTAAACAAAATTTATACCTACACCAACTTCTCGCATACATGAAAACCAGTCAGAACAAGTCTCATTTATATACACGTGAATTTACCTTGTTCCAGGAAAATATACTCGATGAATGAATCAAAAAGTTTATAGAAATTCCGAATTATGTCAAGTTTGCTTTTTTTTTATACAAACATTATCCCATCGTATCATAAATTCCTCGAAATAGCTTAGTGAGTGTTGTAAAAAAAAAAAAATATTATTAATTATATTTAACCAATAAAATTTGTTAAATTTGTTAATGGGGTGAACCGCAGACAGTTGCAGGTTATGACCGCAGATAGCACGTTGTCTTGCCTAATCGACAAACATCAAAGAAAATAAACCGTCTCACTGCATCAACTTTTGGTCTGACTTTCCGAAACATGAATTTTCGCAGATTTGATAGGTGAGATAAGTTGTAAAAAAAACCCCAAGGTTTTGGATCGAAAAAATTTTTTAAAACCCTAATGATTTTTTATTCAACAAATTTTGATTTTTTTTTATCTTTATTCGATTTTGTTAACTTTTATTCGTTTTTGTAAAATAATTTTTGAATTTGAAATATAAACTATATTACATAATTTATTATATAAATAATCAATATAAATAAACGATCACTGGAGTCATGTGATTAAGTTCGGATGTTTGACACTTTATTGCATCAAAATTTGAATTTGTTAAATTATATACTTTTTTATATATATATAACTTTATTATATTTATATTTTTTACTGAGTTATTCAAAATAACTTAATTTCTTTTAACTAAATAATATCAATTAAAATTTTGTAATAACTAATAAATTAACAAAAAAATTTAATTCATATTTAACTAATCTTATAAAAACAGCATAATGGAAATAATTTCTTATACTAAAAAAAAATATTTTAATACTATATATATTTAGTATATAAGTTCAATAGTTAAATAATTTTAATTATTATTCTAAATTAAATTTTTAATAAAGATTTATTATTAAAAATCATAATTTTGTTTTTTTTGTCTTTTATTATTTAAAATAAAACAACAAAATTAGTCAAATTTTCATAAATTAAATAAAATATTAGAGAAGGTAAAATATAAGGAGATGAAATATTATCTAAAAAATTTATAAATTAAGAAAATAATAAAGATTTAATCTATTGATTAATAAATTTATAATGTTATTTTTATTTTTATTTTTTGTGAAAGTTTGATTATTATCATCATTATCATTATCATAATTTTTTTTATTTCTTTATAAGTATTATAATCACAATAATATTATTAGTATTTCTTAATAATTTCTCAAATTAACTAAATTTTAATTTCAACTTGAACTGTTGGATTACTTTTTTTGAACTATTGTTTTCAAAATAATATTTGATAATAACAAACACATTATATATCTTTCTATCACCTTTGATAAAAGAATTATATCTTAATTTTTGTAATTAATTTTAAAATCGATTTTAAAAATAACAAATAAAAATAAAATTCTGATTTTAAAATAAATAAACTATAATTATAATAAAATAAAGTAATATTTATAATTTATATATTCTTATTAAGATATTTTAATATATTTTTTTTGTTAATTTAAAAGGTTTCTAAAATCTTCTACAAATATATTTTCTGCTAATAATGTTATATTAGTATTAGTATTAGTAATAGTAGTAATATTAATATTAATGTTTGCATTAATATTATTATTGGTATTAGTAGTAATTGTAATAGTATTAATGTTAACATTATTATTGTTAATATTGATGATACTTCTTTTAAAGTTTAAATTCTAATAAATAATATTTATTATTTAAAGCATAATGAAAGATGTTAATTATAATATATTATTATTATAAAAAGTATAAGTAAAGTTTGTTAAATAGAAGTTAGAAATATTTCTATTGTAAATTAAATTGCAAAAATAAATTTTATAAATAAATTATATAAAATATTAAAAGAAAAAAAATTAAAAATAATTATAAATATTAATAAAAATAAATAAACAAAATCACAAAATAAAATCATATACACATATTAAATACATGATATAATATTTCAAAAATTTTAACAATTTAATTGATTAATATAATTTTACGTTTTTTAAAATTATAAGTAAATTTATATAACTAATATAGAATTAATAGGTATTGAATTAGTAGATAAGCAACTATTATTGAAAGATAATGAGTTATTACAGTAGTATAATTTGATTTAAAGATATCAAACCTTAAAATAAGTGTGAGTAGGGTTCCTCAAAATCGAATCAAATCAAATCGAATTGAACTCAAATATTTGATCGAATCAATTTGAATCAATTTGAATTTGATCGAATCAAATCAAATTGAATC